TGACCAGACTGACCCTGACTCACCTTGTTAGCATAAACTCAAGTGTGAGCTCAGGGATTCTTGAATAACTTAGACACGCCTGTTACTTGGGAATTCCAAGGACTGACAGTCTCCCCTCTCAGGAAGCTGGGATAAAGGCCTGGCCAAATTCTTTATTATACAATACTTACATTCTATACTTGAGGGGAAAATGTGGCAAAAAGTCTGACCAAATTGCCCAAGTCAAACAGCTAGTAAGTGCAGAGCCCAGTAAAGGAAATGTCTTACAAATTACAGTCTTCTGAAGTTGTCATCCTGAACACTCATCGTAAATTGACAACGTGCCACACCTAAAGCTAGGTGACCATAACAGTGAAACTCCGATTAACGATTTCTTCTTTAAAGCCAAATTAGAAATTTTAGAATTACAAACAAAATGACCTCCTCATTCAATCAATATAAGATTGAGTAAATGTATGTGATAGGAATCAAGTTACTTAAGATCTGAGTTTCAGATAGGGATGTATAAAATAATGTTAGTAAGAGATAGTACCTTCAGGTGTTGTTCTGAGGATTAAATGAAATTATCCATGTAAACTTTGCTCAAGCCCTGACACCTTGTAACTGCGCAGTAAATAGCTTTCATTGTTATTGTTTTTGTTATTTTAAGTTATCATCACTGTTCTTATTAAAAATGAAAACCTACAATTGTTTAGTAAACTACTCTACTTCACTTAGGCATTATGCAGAATTTTTGTGGATTCCAAAACAAAGATTCCATGGAATAGAATTAAATAGAATTAAAAACAAAACTTGGCACATATCGAAATTTCCCAGTCATTAAAAACTCTAGCAGAGCATCTTCACATTCAAACACCAAATGGCATATTCAGTAGCATCTGGTTCACTAGCAGCAATAACAGTAACTGCGGCACCAAGATACATCTAAGGATGAAAAAGGCAGCACAGAGGGGAGGCACCGAATCGGCTGGAAAGAAAGAACACAGTAGGGAATAGCAGTCAAATATGAGAATAGTTGTTGTAAATTTAAGGTAGAGAGAGGAGGCCTAAGAGCTTTACAGATGGAGACCAGATAGAGAATACTATACTTGGAAGGACCTTTGGAGTTAAGTCTAACCTGCTAGGTTTGAGATGTGAATTTGAAAGTCAGGCAACAAATAAAGACCTTAATAATGTTCACTGGATAGAAGATATCATGGAAAACATGAAATATAAGATAACTCAATAATAGGTATTTTCTACTTATTAAATATTGAAGCAAAGAAAGGCACATACTATTAACAGGAGGACATAGTGGAAGTGACATTCTTATCCTGACTAAACTATGATTTATCACACAAAATCTCAGAGTAATGAATACAAATTGAGAGTAGAAAGGAAATTCGAAGTGTATGCTGAGATATTAGAAAGAGTAAATCACTCAATTCTTTCTTAAAATTTTAGCAAAATATATTCTGGGAAAATGTAAAAAAAAAGTCAACTTTATAATGTAAAGAAATAGGAAGTAGCGGTTAAAATTGATACAGAAAGATGGGCAACTACAATTCAGATGAGATAATACATGATAAATCTTCAAAATGAAGGCTAGAGATAAAAGGTGGGAAAGGAAAGATTTATTGAAATGAACACTACATTACACAGAGTAGAAGATAAGTGTTTTTAAATTCTTCCTAAATTCTATACTTCTTATATCAAGGTAATGCACTATTCTTTCTTAGGCAAAATAATGAAATTAAAGGAGCAATAAGCTGCAGTGGAACTTTTGCTCCTGACTGGAGCAGAGAAAGACTGACCAATATTTCACTCCCTCCTTGCATTTTCCTCTTCTTAGATTTTTGATTTGTGAAAAAATGCTACTTCGCAAATCATGTATGAGGAATTTAAGAAATATATACATTTATAATTTCTGTTAATCATGTAAATTCTCTGACTCAGTTCATATATGGTCTCTACAGAAAGAACAGCATGTTGAAAATGTCCCAACACGTTTCAGTAAATATCTGATATCAAAATACACTAATCACTATTGTGATATCAAAATACACTGAAATCAACAAGCATTATTTTTTCTCAACAATACACACATTTATCAGCTTTTAGAGAATGTTTTGACCTTTACATGTTTATGAGTTTGTTTATGGAGTAATCTTCAAGTGTCCATATTTTTCTTCTCATACTAAAATATGGCCTGAAAGAGTAGATTACAGAAAGTAAACTTTTCTGCACTAAAACATAGTAATACTTAGTTGTTATTTCATCATTTCTACTTGCTCCTGGTTCGTATTTATATATAACATTATAAAGACAAAAAAAAAGTGGCAAATTCAATCCCAAACAAGGACATCCAATTCCACAGATAGAAGACTATACTAATAAAGAATGAAAACAAGTTTATATAAGTAATAAAAATTAGAAGTTGTATATAAACATTAAAATAAAAACAATGAAAACCAGATAAAATGTGTCAAAATAATAAATTATAAAAGAAAATTTACCAATATATTCAGTTGTTTCCCTTAAACTAGGCATGTCTACTTGCCATTTTTTTCAGTTTAAAAAAAACCTTAAAGTTATGATTAAGTTGTACTTTGATTTATTTTCAATTTAATCTCTGAAGAAAAATAACTGTAGACTACAATAAAAAAGCAGGTCAAAATTCAAGAAAACACTTTTTTCAAAGTTTCAAAGCTTTGTTCCGAGTCAGTAAGAAAAAAATGTGATTTAAAAAATTATACTTAATTGCATAGAACAATAAGCCATTGATTGATCTGTTTAAAACCTACCATTCACTCAATATTATAAAAAATAATAATAATAAGCACTTTTTGGGCAAATTAATTATTTTTGTATTCTTTCATTTTTAAGTAAAGCAGACAACATAAACAAAACTATAGACATACAGATAAGCTAATGTTTATCCAAAAACTTATGAAAGAATATGGTTTTAACTAATTCTGCTTATATTTTAACATCTCTTTACTTGGAAACTCATAACATAATTTTTTAAGTAAAGTGGATCATACCGGGTATTGATTTTAATATCAACACCTGAAAAGTAAAATTGTTCCATAACAAACATTTGTATTGCTTCTCTCATTCCAGTGATGCCAGTAATATAATAATGTAAAAGAGCAAGGTCAAAATATTCTAACTATTCATTTTAGGTTACGAGGACTATATGTTATCAATTAACCACTGCCTGACTTGATGCCAACTTTTGTTTCTATGGCTTTCTCTCCCTTTTTCTCCTAAATAAATGTGATGCCATTTTTTTTTCACCTGTGAAAACAGGAGATAGATAATATGGTGTAGGCGAGAATGACGTGGGGTACAATTACTGGGCTATAAATCTTGATCTGCCATTTCCCAGCTCTGTGATCTTAGGAAAATAAGAGAATCTTAATAGGACTTTGAAGATGGAATAAGATAATCCACAAAGATTCTTAGCATACTGTCTGGCATAAAAATCAAACTCCTTTACAACATAGTTAAAAAATCCAGTCTAATGAGTATATCTTAGTATTAAGTAGAATTCAGTGCATTTATGCATGACTTTAACCTCTGAATTATCTAGATTAATTTTAAATTAAAAATGTTTTTGAATGCCTGTGATGGGACAGGCTCTGAAATGAGATTGTTCCCCTTTGATCTCACTCATAACAATGGCGTTGTGACACATCCACTGGCAGCATCTTTGCCACTTTACAGGTAAAAAATTGAATCATGCTAATTATGGGCCTCCCTCTACACCTGGGAAGTGGGAGAATTTGTTTGGTGGATGAATCTGGGAAGAGTGTCTCCTCAGCCCCTCTCTCCTTTTTCTTGGAGCAAGACTTCCTGCAGAGAGCACAGCTTTTCCTCTTCCTATGTATGATAGCCTCATCTGTCTGGGAAGACCCTCACCAGGGAGACCTGATCTGGTTTGTAGGTGCCTAGCCAGTAAAGTTGCCTAATAAGGGATGTACTTATAAACCCTCTCAGCTGTCACATTCAGCTATGCCCTCTGAATATATCCTCTATCACTGATCGGGTATAATTTGGGCTCCATCTTTTCTCTTTGATTATCTCACACATTGTTCAAGAACCCAGTTAGTGCCCTCAAATATTCCAGTATTAGACATAAACTCCATTGCCAGAGAAGAAACATGTTCAAAACAGGGAGGTAACTTCCTCAAGTTCTCACTGCTGATACACAGCAGATTTTGTTTTCAAACTGAAAATATTTTATCTTTTTTTATGTATTGATTCCATTTACTGAGATATAATTCACATCGCACAAAATTTACACTTTTAAAAATGTATAATTCAGTGCTTTTTAGCATATTCACAAATTTGTATAACTATCACATCTATTTCCAGAACATTTTCATTATCCCTCAAAAACTCATTTCCATCAAGAGTCTCTCCCCATTATCCTCTCTCCCTAGTTCTGGAAAACACTAATAGACTTTGTCTTTCTATAGATTTGCAAATTCCAGAGATTTTTTTACTAATGGAATTGTCTTGCCTTGCTCACTTAGCATGTTTTCAAGGTTTATTCTCCTTGTAGCATGCTTTGTATTTAGGAGATATTTTAGACAATAAGAAATCATTAATTTTATACATAAGAGAGAAAAAATGAATATTTGTATGTTCTGCTCTAGGAAATTTAGCCATTATGATAGTCACTGGTAACTCTACATATCAGTTTAGCTAAAAACACGGTGTGTTTAAAATATTATCTTTGATTTTGTGGTGACAAATATATTTAATAACTGAAATAGTAAGCTTTAAAAAAAATCGGAGTTTTTATAAAAGTATGTTAAACTCATTACTGTTAACAAATATTTTTTTATAAATATTGATATGAAGCTTCAATTTTCTAAATTTCAGTTGAGAGACAGACTTAATATAGACCGTAAAATGACTTTCCGGTTATTAGAGAGGAAGTAAATTGAGAATAATTAACCCATCAATGAACCAGGACTATAATTTTATCATTCTAGAAAGAAGGCACTTACAGCTTACTGGAAACTACTGGAAGATCTTGAATGATCTCTTCATATGGCTCCTCTTGTGCTAAGGTAGGCACAGATAAGGGCTCTTTCATCTTTTCTTCCCAGGCAATTTCAGCTTTCAGCAGCATTTCCTCAATAAACTCAGATGCTGCGACATCTACATACAACAATATGAAAATCAGAAAAAGTAGGTGGTGAAATCACAGAAAAACTATTTACTTTTAGTAGTTCCGATATTCTGAAACACTAAAATTTATAAACACACATGGGAAAACAAAACATTAAAAGCCTATGGTAGAAATAAAATTACAGCACTGCCATTAAAAAAGACTTTACATCAGTGACATATTTAATTACAAATGAAATAAAAAATACAAAAATAATTTTCACTGAATAGTGATGTGTAATATGTAAAATCATTGAGAAGCTAAGCCTGAGAGAATTTAATATTTTATTCTCAGTGAAACTCTTCCTTCATCTTGGAGAATATGAAAGAAAATGATGAAAATAGTTATACCTTCCTAATGACTATTATAAAACATGTAGTGGGCATTCCAAAACATTCTACTAAACAGGTAGATGTACAAATAAATAGTCAATATTTGTTATTCAAACAGTGGGTCTAATCTCTCTTCCTGATCTGTTTTCTTAATCTGAAATATAATTGTACTTCCTTATAAATTACACATTAACAGAGACACCTGAACATATTTGAGCAGCAATACAGATTTGCATTAATTAAATTTATACTTATAATTGAAAGTGAAAATCAATAAATCCTGAAAAATATTCATATTAATAACGAATATGAACCTAATAAAAACATCCTCTTTTCAACCCTCATAACCAGCTTGCATGACCACCTATGTCTATTAATTTGAGTCATGTGGCTATATAGGCTGGATGTGGTACTTCAGCTACCACAAGAAGATATTTATGCTAGGATTTTATCATCATTTACTTTAGGTTAAATCATAACCACATAACAAGTAGGAGAAAGCTCCGCTTCCTTGCTTCAGGATACTTTTTTTATTCTACCTAACAGTTACAACCCAAAACTTCCTTTATCCTCCAGATGAATTTTTATTCTGAAATCAAGAAACACAAAACAGCAAGAATATAATATAGTACCGTGATGATTTTCATTTGCTCATGATATGGGTGTCTAATTTACTGTTCTTTCTACCATTGTTTCATCTGGTTCATTCTTCTTGCTGGGAGTATATGTTGAGATATCTTACATTTACATGAAACCTCTCACTGCATTATAGCTTTTTGTCCCTTGTGTGTGAGAGAAGTATTTTCATTCAATTAACAAATGTTTATTCAGTCTACCATAGTCCCATCACTGTCTCTCATGATCAACATGGCAGAGAAAAAGGATTATGTTGATGACAGGCTTGGCATGACCAACACAAACAAAATTACCCAAGAGAGTCAGCACACACTAGGCCTGAGGTGACCAGAACTAAGTCTACGCCAGAGGTTTAGTAATTTCCTGGTGCTCTAGGGCTGCCATTGCCTTGGCTGTTCATTTTAGTACAGCTGACAATAGATCTCAAAGGGAAATGTGTGACAGATGGGAATCTATGCAGTCAAGGATCAGTCATATATTCCCTTCTCTGGAAAAAAAAAGTCAGGGATATGAACTGGGAAAATGTGATCTGTCAAACTAAAATAAAGTTAACATATGATCTCACTTATATTTTATAATGAATATATTTTTGAAAAAAAAAAGAAAAAACTACAAATTTCTGTTTGCTTCTTTAATATTTACCATTAGACATGTTTTTGTAGTTAGTGTTAAGATTACTGCACTACTATTAATATTAGCCTGATTCTAAAGTTTGAGACTATTAAGCTATCCTATAGTTCCATTTGTTAAATCTTTATTTTAACAGAGAAGATGAATAAATATTGAACAATAATACTTACTTTCAATAAAATAAAAGTAGAGTAAATCTTTCGTCTTGTTCTAAACTGGTGGTTTATCAGGTAATCATAGTCCCACAGTACATCAAACTAGAAATCTCAGGCTTAAAGTGCTTTTAAGTGAGTGGAAATATAGCAACAAGAAGAATAAGCAGCTATAAGTTCTTCAGATCAATTACTACCTCAAAATTTTTATATTATTTTGTTACTTACCTACTTTCCTTTGCTATTTAGAATTCTTTTGTTTTTAATATACCAAAAGTAACTTATGAGCAGTAACAGTATTGAATTTTAAAGCTAAAAATAATGTGGCATTTATTTTTAAAATAAGTACATGAATATACAAAAGAACATTAATAAAAAGAACTCCAGAAATTTTCAAAAATATATTTATTAAAAAAAGTAACATTAGTCTACGGCCATGCCACCCTGAACAAGCCCGATTCCGTCTGATCTCAGAAGCTAAGCAGGGTCAGGCCTGGTTAGTACTTGGATAGGAGACCACCTAGGAAAACCAGGTGCTGTAGGTCTAAAAAATAAATAAAAAATAAGGGATTGTAAGCTGATAAGGTCCTTGCAATCTGTGAGGTCAACCAAGAGTTGCCTCGCCTAAAAAAAACAAAATAATAAGTAACATTAAGATTTTCACACTTTTCAATTAGCTTCAGAATATTAGTCTCTATATCTTGCAGTATAAATATCTCTGCAGGAAAACACAATTATTGTTTTAAAACACCCTAATGAACAAATATGTATTAGGTATGATGAAAACCTAGTTAAATAACAGCAAAAATATGCTTTAAAGTAAGTGATACTTCAGAAATCACTACCCTGGAAGTTTCAAGATTGAAAAGCAAATTGTAATGAAGTACATAGTACCCTGTAAATTAAACTGTTGTCTAATGTCCAGCCTCTTGTAGTGGAGCAGTGTATGAGTATGTGAATCATGCTTGAACTGGAATGGTTTTCACAAAGCTTCTCAATAGAGGCTGACTTGTATTTCCTAGCTATGCTTGTGATAAATGAACAACTCACATATGAAGGAAACAGTGACTGCTCAATGGTCCCAGGATGCTCATAACTTACCTGAGGCCTTCTCTTCATTGCAGTTCAGGAGGTTTGGATTTGCCTGATGCATCAAAAGAAGTTTCACCAGGTTTGTCTGAAACATTAAAGATAATTGGAACAGGAAACACCGTGCTGGATACTGAAGATTCATCAGTAAATGATACACAGTTGTGGCCTCATGGGGCACTTAAGGTTGGAGAAATGAGAATACATTAGTATTCCCTACTACTACACTAAATGTTTCTTATGCTCTCCATTTCCAGCTCTTTTTTTAAAATGATGGACATTTAAACTATTTCAGCAATTAATGCATTCAAACCAAAAATTATTTGTCAAATGAGGAATAAACCATTGAGGATTTTTAAAAGTACACAACACTTTTCAGATTTATTGTAGGACATCTTCTGGGAAACTTGATGAGAGATTGACATATTTTAAAATTTTATTATAAAATACAGCATTCTAGAGTACATAAAATGTACATGTGCCATTGAAAAAACCATAATGAAATAAAGTCCAGACACCCAACTTTTAAATACTTCATTAATGGTACCTTCATGTGTTCCTCTCTCTATTTCCCAGAGTTGACCACCATCATGAATTTTGGGCTAACCGTTACTATGTTTTCTTTACATGCTTTGCCCTTACATATGAAAGTATCCCTAAACATCATATTGCTTAGTTTCATCTGTTTGATATTTATAGAAATGGAATCCTGTTGCATTTATTCTTCCGTGATTGACCACAAGTAACTAAACTCATGGAAAGTAAAACTGTTGTAATTACTAAAATTATTAGAGGTTAATAATTCTGGGTTTCTGTGTGTGTGTGTGTGCGTGTGTGTGTATAAAAGAAAACTAGTAGAACATATATTTAAGTTGAAATTGAAATTCACACAAGTTATTGGATATAGACTTTTACTCATTCTGTGGACAGTGATATTTCAGTTTGGGTAAATTTAGCAAAAATTGATTTCTTTGTGGTCATTTAAATTATCTCTTTAAAAAGTTAAAAAACAGCAATCAGTGTTTGGAGATAGCCAAATTCTTAGTTCAGAAAGTAAGAGACTGTTAATTTAATAAAGAGAAACTATATTAAAGGCCCCCAGGGAATTCGGAATTTATATATCCTGCACTCATTGGTACGTTCTCTACATTTTAACTCAGAACCATGTGAAAGATTTCAGATCTAAAATATAAAAACATCAAATAAATGATTAATATTAACTCTGTTTGTAATCCAAATGTGACTTCTTATTAAAGAAATAGTTCTGCCTTCAACCCTCAAAATATGTGCTTTTATTCTGCACAATTCCTCTGTATTTCTGGACACACCCCTTTACTTCTACAGAGCAGCCTCATTCTCCCATGTCTATTCCACCTCAGACTCTGCTGATAAACCTTCTTATACTGTTAAATATGGTGTCGCTCATAATACTTTGCCCTCTCTTTCCATTGTATAAGATTTCTTTGAGTAATCTATCAAAAATCTCTACTTCTCAACCTACTCAATACCTTGCACATGCCCAAGTATCTCTTGGATATCTCCATCAGGATTTTTCCCATTGGCCAACAAGATGCAAGTTGTATGCTCACTTCATACATTTATTTATTCAATGACCCACAGAGGAAGACAAGCATCTGCTAAACTAGAGCACTCACTAACTCTTTCAATAAATAGCAACTGAGTACTCTGTGTCAGGCACTGTGCTTATAAATAAATAAATGTTGTACCTGTACTCAGTTCTCACCAACTAGAGGATGATACAAACAAAGGAAGAGATAATTCTGATGTGTTATGATAAGTGATGTGATACAGGAGATGCAGAGTGCTCAAAAGGGTAACCATGTCACTGGGATTCAGGAAATGAGAAAAGACAGCCAGTGAAGTGACATTTCAGTGTAATCCTGCAAGTCAAGTAAGATTTAACCACTTAACACTTTCAAGAAGAGCAAAGAATATGAAAGGGATGCACATTATAGTATATTCTCAGAAACTGAAAGTTCAGTATAGCTATATCCTCTAACCTCATAAGAGGAAGCAGGAGAAATAAAACTGGAGGGTTAAGCAGAAGCCCAGGCATGTGGTGGCTTTTAAACTGTGTTACGGAGCGAACATCTCATGTCAACGGGAATGGAAAGATATTGTGTTGAAATAATTTGACTATCTTTGCATTTAGAAAGGTTATTATAGCCACATTGTTGAGAATGGAGTAGGGCAGGGGCGGGAAGTTCTGTTAGGAGGTTGGTGGGTTGATTCTGATGTAGACTGCTGAAGCACTGGACAAGGGAAGGGGCAATGAGGAAGTACAGATTCACTGGTCATGATTATAGCTCAAGTAGCTCAAAACCATTTCCTAGGTCAGAGCTTGTGGGCTCAGTGGTTCACTAGATATGGGAGATGAAAGAGAGGTATGAAAAGGATACTATTCAATTTTGGGATGAGTAAATGATGAAACAGAGAAGGAGTAACAGATTGGGGATGGGAAAAAGAAGATGATAATTCCCTTTGTACACAAGTTGAGTTTGAAGGCAGGTCGATCGAGATTACCCACTGGGCAGTGGCCCTCCTCAGTCTGGAATTTGGGAGAGAAATGAGAGAAGGCTCTGGGAGCCATGAGCATGCAGGGTATTTGAAGCTGTGGGTGTGGAAAGTACCTAAAGAAATATAAACACTGAAAAGAGAGGGAACCCAGGATAGAGTAGTAAGCTTATCAATACTGGATGCTCGGAGGTATAAGAGGAAAACCAGACAGAGTTTTAACGTTTTTCCAAAGTTAAAGAAGAAATACCTAAAGGAAAAAGATAATAACCTCTGAATATATCTCAATTCTTATATATTTGGGTAAAAATGTATTTGAGAAGACAAACAACTCCTTTGAACATCAAGATGTATGGGTTGCAGTATACAAAATACTTATGAAGGAAAGGATATTTAGATTTTAGCATTTCTACAATTATTTTCTTATTTTTTGTTGCAGTATTGTCAATCCTATTACAAACATTAAAATATATACAAGGCTAGAATCAAATTTTATTTTATGTATGTCATGAAAGAATTGTTACTCACATAACTTATTTAGTTCCCAGTTTTAGACAAGAATAGGCATCTCTCTTTTTTTCTCAATGGAAAAGTTAATGTGTTTAAAAGGGAAATGGTACAATATATATATGCCATCCCAGTATAAATGTCAATAATAAATATTGTTATAAATTACTGACTACCATCTCCATAAAGGTATTTATATTTGTAAGATATTTCTAAGAAAGTAAAATTATTACCAATGTCTCTAAAAATGCCATTAGTCTTTCTAAAGTGTTAGCATTTCTAAAGCTTTTTTTCTGAACTGAGATGCATTTATTTACAGTAAATGTCTTTAGAGTTATAAATTTCCCATGCATATAAATTGATATTCAAATAAACCAATTTCTAAAACATGCTTTCCAAAATGAATATTAAATGGTATTTCATGGGTGAACAATTTTTAAAATAATTCTAGATATCATATGCTATATTCTTGACAAAATAATCAAAAACAATTTACTCTAAATCTTCTATTAACATAAATCTCTTACTTAATTTTTTAGTTTGAATCAAGGAAGAATAGTTTGGTTCTGGTGTCATATACTAAAAGAAAATCCTCACTCTACCTCACAGCAAAAGAATTTTATTTCTGTTCTTAGTTGACAGATTTGTTCATTCAATTTCTTGTTACTCTGAGGGACAGAGGGATAGCACAGTGAGCATCTCAAATAAAGTCTCTGCTGTTTTAGTGCTTACATTCTGGTGGAGACTCCATTCCAGTAGGTTTAACGGAGCAAAACAGAAATGGCACACATGATCTTCAGTCTCTATCTGGTACTAAAATGTATAAGGATTTAGAAAATACTAAATTAACGGTTAGTCTTTTTCAAGAGAAGCAAAAGATAAAGGTGAGATTATTTTTTAAATATGCCTCATTTAAATATAGTAAATGGCTATTTCTGGAAAACACTATATTGAACATCTGTCTGTACAAATCTAGCAACTGGGTCAACTGATTAGGGCACATGCTCATTGATGCTTCGATGATGCATTTGCCTTCGTTATTCTCAGCAATCTTCTGAGCTTTGCAAAAATTCTCTTATAAAGAAATGTGTTGATCGTTCTCATTAATTAAAGACCCTAGGGCTAGGTTCTATGGAAGAAGAATTATCGAAGCTTATAAGGGTCACGCAGCCAGTGAGTTAGGTAAACTGTCACTCAGAGCCAGTGAGAAGGCCATGGTAGTCATCAAAACAAAGCTGGTTTAATCACTTAGTCGGGTGTGGAATATAGGTGTGTTTGTGTGGAGGGGAGTGTCTTGAGAAAAGAAGAAAGAATAGAGAATCTAAAGAGAAATAATGGTTTTAAAAGCTGAATTCAAATATTTTGCTGCTGGGTTTGAAAAAAAAAGAACAATTAAAAAGTTTCTTAATTCACTTAACATTAATAAATGATGATAATTGGAGATATAGCTGGCACACTAGAGATGTAGTAATAAAAACATTAATCTTAATTACTCTGGATCTTGCAAAGCAATAGCACGTTTTGACTCATATTTCTCACCTAAATTCATGACTATGTTTCTCTAGGCTGAAAACACAGATTTAGAAAACCCAAAGTTTGAGAAATTTGTCGAATGTGGTAGGTAAATGGGGTGAGAGTACTGACATCTACTAATTCTCTCTGCCTTATAATAACCAGTGATGCTTCTATACTATGACTTTTGTGTGACGAGACTCTTTAGAAAGCTTTATGAAGGAAGTAGCAATTGTACTAGGCTTATCTTACATCACTGAGGTGTAGCAAGTATCACGTTAGGCATATAAATCATTAAATGATTTTTTTTTATTTTAAACAAAACTGTGTAAACTAACATTTTAAAAAATCTACTTTCATCGCTAAAACCAACTGCAAATTTTTTATTATATAGGTAACTTGTTTCATTGCTTTAATATATTCCTTAACCTTTTGTCATGGTTATATAAAACATGTTTCTTTCTAAAACACAAATATTATCTGACTGCAATTTTGTCTTTTAATACTTATAATACAATAAAGCTCTATTATAGGACCTTTAAAAATGTATTTCCTTGGGTAAAAGTTTTCATTTCTGCAGAGTAGGGTTTCTTATGAACCCATAAAAACCTATGCCTTGTTTTCATAAAGGACTCTAGATCTCTGAAATGTAGGTGTACTTTTTGTGTCTCTAAATTTCTGAGAAAAGGATCAGTAGCTTCACCTGATTGCCTAGGGGATAAATTTTCTGATAGCCACTACTTCTTTCTGCCTTAATCAGTATAGCTTCCAGGATATGGAATAGAAGTATCTAGCTCATCCTTCGAAATGTGAGTCAGGAAAAATTGATCATATTTAGGCATGCTCAACATGTAGAACCAAAGATGGTAACAGATACTATATAATAAAAAGATTATGTAAATGCATATTCATTTCTACTCTGCCTCACAGGTGTGTTTCATATGAAGATAACCATAAGTTAATTTCCTTTCATCACACTTTATCAAGTTTGACGAAGCTTTCAGAAATAAGTATTTTTCAAAACAGAAACAGTTGTTTTAAAACACATCAACTAAGACTGGTTTCTTGGTCCTCTCTGTTATTTATACAACAAACACTAGAAATAACAAACAACCCAGGAAGAACTCTGGAAAGTTGAAGGAGGAAGGTAAACTGGCTCAGGACTCCAAGAAGGGAGGAATCACACAGAGGCAGGGTAACCGATATCCTCACACCCAATACAGAAGGCATCTCCAGACAGGGTGTTTCCTACCCTCAAATTAATGGCATCCACTGAACCTGAGACTGTCCTTCCCCACAAGAGATGAGAAAGGCTGAGAGGGGGCATTTGCAGGAGGGAACCTGCACCAACAGTCCCCCAGCCTTGAAAATCTTTTTGACCACATGGAGATTCCCCTAGCTGACCAAGAGACATGGAATAGCCCGACTTGGGGAAAATTCTTGCATCCTTTCCGGGAGCTCCAATGGGAACCAGTGGGAGCACACACTGGGGCACCAGAAAAGCCAGGTATGCCAAAATAACACCTCAAAGGGTTTGACTATTAAGCTGCCATTGGAACCACAGCCCACTCAAGTAGACAAGGACCTGTGTGCTAAATCTAAACATGGTGGTTAAAATAGAAGATTTATATAAAACCAAGACTCTCTTAACATAATAGCCAAAAGGTCCAAGATACAATTGGAGATCACTCATCATACCAAGATAAGGAAATTACAAGTTGAATGAGGGAAAAATGATTAATTGACACCAAAAACAAGATGAATCCTCCTAGAATTATTTGATGATAATTTTAAAGCAGCCATAGTAAGAATGCTTCAACAAAGTTACAAATTCTCATGAAACAAATGAAAAAATAGAAAATCTCATCAATGACATAGAGTTACAAGAAAGAACCAAATGGATATCATAGAACTGAAAAATACAAATACATCAATTCATAACAAATATTTCATTTGATCTGCAACCAAATAAAACATAGACCACGCACTGAGTTCTGACAAAAATTGTTAAATTTCTAATAACATAAATAGTGACATATTTTGTGGATGGTGCATCTTTAAAAAAACTTTGTAAAATCTAGTCCTAGTCTCCCAGAGTTTATTATCTCATAAAAGTTGTTAAAGAAAACCAATTTGTTACTTTTTTAAATGTTATTGATCCAAAATCTAAAATTCTATCAAGAAAAGTGAAAAAGTGAGTAAAATGAAAGCCTTGACTCATTCAAGTTGGTGTGGTGTTCTGCTACATTTTACCATGCTATCACTCACTTCCAGATTTAGCTCCTTCCAGAAGCAATCTCTGACTATGACAGGCAGGGACACTTTGATAATCCACTGATTACCATTTCTTCAGCAAAGGCCATCCATTTGTGTTCCAAGAAACAGTACTTGCTTATATTTTTGCTTCTCTATTTTTAACTAATCACGAACTTCTCACGCAGTATATTTCAGGCTCTCATTGTGCTAGAAATGGAGTACTGAAGAACTGATCTCCCAATATTCCAATGGTCTAGTGGGACCTGGGGACCCTGGACCCCTGAGGACAATGACATCAGCTACCTGCAGTCTCATCCCCTTAACCCAGCCATTTATTTACGCACACACTTGCCAAAAGTAGTTTAGGGTTTACAAACAGTCTGTTTTAAATATTTATTAAATAACTAAATCTTTTTCTACAGAAAATGTTGTCAAAGCAAGCAACATTTTTATTAGTTTGAAAACTTTCCCTAAGCAAGGTGCTTTTTCTAAAATGCTTGTAATGAAAATGTTTTCAATTCTTTCAACAATTGCAGTACTCAAATTGTATTATAGACTTTTTCTTATGTGCCAGTTAGGATCTAAGGGATTTAACTTCCTACAAATTCAATGAGTTTGGTTGTTACCTCAAATTAATGTTTAGAAATCAACAAGTTTAGCTTAAATCTCCATACATATGTAAAACTAAGTTATTTTCCATACTATTACTACTAACACTCTAACACACAAAATATACTTTTATAAACTTATTTTAATATTAATAAATTGTTATGAACACTGCTGTCACATTCATCCATGTAAATCATTTAAAAGTTAGTGTGCTTTTTCATTATGATGTAAGGGTACCTACTGAGAAATTAATTTTTGCAATAGTAACTCAAGATGTATTAGCTATAGACAAAAATCAATTCAAAGAAAGAACTCTGCTATCCATCCTTCATTCATTAAAATAAAATATAATTTATAGAGAAAAATAAAATATAAAATGTAATTTTGCTTACATCTACTAACTATAGTAAACAAAAAGAACTATTGCAAACTTGTGAAATGGTAAGTTTATAAGGACTATATAATATGTAAAAATTGCATTAAGTCTACATTATAAAGAATGTTTATGTTCTGATTATTTCTCCAATGATTTTGGCTACAATATGCAGAGTCCTGAGAAATGTATGTTATTATATATCATTCTAAAAGCAAATGTTTTCTTTCAATCAAAAATATTGGTCTAATAAGATGATGTCATTAAAAGTCAAATTGCATTTATCTGGGTGATCACTTTGTAAGGTATATAAAGGTCTAATCACCATGTTATATGCTTGAAACATATAATATTATATGTCAACTGTAATTGAAAAACAAATTTTAAAAAAGCAAAAGAAAAGTCAAATTACATAATAATTAGTACACGATTTAAAATAAAAACTAAATTAAACATGAAATGATGCAATGATTATAAAATGAATGTTCAAAAATAATTCAGGAAACCATTTTACCTGGCCATACTTTGCTGCCAAATGGAGTGGGGTCCAGTACTGATTATCTACTATATTGAGGTCTCCACCATGTTCCAAGAGAAGAGATACCACCTCCTTGTAGCCACTAGCACATGCCATATGCAACTGTAAGAAAGAGATAATTCGTTATTTATCTTTAAAAAGTAGCAATATCGATACAGTTTTATCAGTGGTTTAAAGAGAGTTATTTAATAAAGTATTAAATATGAAATACAGATACCTTTAATGAAAGGAACAGATATGTAATTTTATTTATTTGGTACAGGTGGATGACATCCTTCGAAAAAGGCTTATGTATTAATCGTTTATTATTTTCCTTCTGACTCTGTGCACTTGTTCATGTAATTCCTATTTCCCTCTTTAGTGTCCCTTTCTACTACAATCTGAATACTTTTAAATACAAAATATAGTAATTCAATACCTTAATACTTTTTACCCAAAAGTCAAACATGTACTGACGACTTCTAAAATTCCAGCACTGTATTTGGTGTTATAGGAGAGTGAGTCAAAGATATAAATGACAAGGAAATATAATCACTGTGATGTTTATAGACAAGTAAAAGGGAGAGGAACACCAGAAAGGATGAATTAATCCTGACAGGCTTTAAAATAATTATGTAGCCATCATTTTAACATTCTCCCAGTTTAGCTTCTTAATGCAACTGGAAGTTTAGAAATGAGGCCTCAAGAACTATAATGTGATCAGGGTAGGGAGAATCTTTCAAATTTTTCAGATTGGGGAATTCCTGTTTCTAAGGCAGCAGTCTTTATTTGTAAGTAAACTATCATCAAACCCAATTTAAATTAGGTTATTAAGTAACTAACTGCATGATTGATTTTGTAATCATAATAATTAGAAATAGAGAACTACACTGAAAGGAGAAAGAAAAGCTAATACAAAAATAGGAAAAACAATAGCTTCTAGTTTTGCAACATGGAATTTTGTATCTTTCTTTCCATTTTTGTTATAAAAATAAAATTATAGTAAAGTCAGAAAGCCTTATTAAATATATATATTTTTATAAAATGCAGCAAAAAAATTTGGTTTTCTAACTTTAGACTTAAGGATCTTATATCTATAGTGATATTCATATGTTTATTTCTTGTACTTTCAACTACTTTAGAAAGACAAATAAACTCATCTAATTTAAGGCATAAACACTGAGATTAAGTTTCACATCAATCTTACTATGTTTTTTACACATAGAATTCATTTCATTAATATTCTAGCAAACAGTCCCAAGAATAACAGAGCCATAGGTATTTGAAAGAAATATAATTTTGTATACTTGTTCACCTAGAGAACTAATCTTTCACGTACTTCTAAATTTATTCTACTTTATTTGAATCAATTATTTGAGTCAATGTATGGCAGGTTACTCTACACTATACGCACTAATATCTGCATCTCAGAAGATTTTCACTTTTAGTATAAAACTGCATTAAGAATATATACATTAGTTGGTTAGCACCTGATGTTAATAATGTCAAATTCATAGGATCAAACCCTTTATGACTAGATTTGCTTTCTATGCAGCAAAAATTGTATTACTCTATTTAAAATTTAGCCCAACTCTCACTCAGTCATCTCATGCACTGCTCACAAGGAAAAGACTAGAAGGAAGACAGGCTTGGCTCACTCAGTAGAAAAGCTATCCAAAACACGAGCCAACAGCGACACCTGTGGAGGCGGGCAAATTTAATATAGGCAATCTCAGAACAAAATCAAAAGACCCTTTTGATTACATCCAAGTCATCACAAGAGGTGACAGAATTGTTTTTTTAGAATTTTTAAAAATTATCGTAATATAATGTCAGGATCCTAGAGCCTTTCCCTCGATTCTTGGGCAATCAACTTCTGAACCCATAAGTAAGTTACTAGACTGAATGGGAATATAAGTTTCTCATCACTGAAGTTAGAGTTAAAATACACATAGAATAAAAAATGTCTAATTTCTGAAATGAAATTTACACTCCTGCCCTTGTCCTGTCTATGGTTGGAAGATATCAGATGCCAAAATGTGAATGTGTTCATCACTATAGCATCTTACAATACTCCTCTCCTGCTATTTAATGGGTTCTTATAAGAAACACAGAGATGGTCACTGTTTCTGTAGAGAAGTGGCAGCACCTATTTGGAAGCACAGTTCTCATCAAAAATTATTCCAAGTTGGAAATCACCTACCTAATTATAATGCAGGACAAGACATTAGAGTGCTTTCACAAATATTGCACATAAAAGTTATAAAAGTTATAAATTAGTCCTTCTATTCTGTACAACCAATCAGCTGTGATACAGTTATCATCTTGTTTTTGCAAGGGGAGAAAGTGAGGATTAAATCATTGAGGTAACTGGCCCAGGGAAGCATTGTGACTGTGGTCTGAAACCACTTTCTTCTCTGCTCTCCAGACTGTCATTTTGAAATAGCAAAGGAGAGTGGACATCCAGGCTACCAGAAAACACTGCAATATTAACACTCCTGACAAACCTTGCTTTTATGTCATAAACTTATTTGTTGTAATATACAATTTTTCTTTCTCCTATAACTCATCTCCTCCCTCACATATGAATCCTGTATTAAAATGTTTGTCTCTAGAAGATGCTCATCATTTACACAATTACTTTGGTTTTCCCTTGGCAAATAATCCATGTACACAATGCCATGTTTGTTAAGCTTGGCTTATTGCCTTCTTGCATATTTCACACAATCATCACAAGGTTTTCAGATATAAAACACACAGATTCTCAGGCTCCAGTTAGAAGTCTGAAGTCCATACAGACAGGATCCCCTCTAACACTGCCTATCCTTGACACGAGAAGTATGACAGACCTCAGTGAAGACAGAGAACAGGGTCATGAACTATAATGTGATCCCATATGAGGATCCTATTTTAACAACATCAGATCAAAGCTCATAACACTATATTTATTTTGTACTACCTTCTTGCACACTGCAGAAAGCTTTATGTCTCAATATAATAAAGTAGCATATATATATATTATTACATTTGGATATATATATATTTTATTACATTTTATTACATTTGGATATATATATATTTGCTATTATATCCAAATGTAATAAAATGTAATCAATAGCATCAAACACCGTACTTGTTTTCTCATTTGTTTCATATTATACCAACTATAAACCCACACCTATATGGTCCATCAATCTGACAAAGGAGACAAGAATATACAATGTATATTGTAAAGAAATGGTAAAGACAGCCTCCTCGATAAGAGATGCTGGGAAAACGGGAGAGACATATGCAAAAAAAAAAAATAATAATTAAACCAACTTCTTACGGTATACACAAAAATAAGTTCAAAGTGGATTAAAGACTTAAATTTCAGACTCGAAACCACAAAACCCCTAGAATAAAACACGGGGTGTAAAAACTTTAGCATTAGCCTTAGCAACATCTTTCTGGATATGTCTCTATGGGCAAAGGCAACAAAAGAAACAGAAGAAACAAATGGGACTCCATCAAACTAAAAAACTCTACACAGCGAAGAAACCATCAAGAAAACGAAAGACAACCTGCCCACTGGGAGAAGATAGTCACAAATTACACATCTAATAAGGGCTTAATACCCAAAACATATAAAGAACTCATACCATTTAACAGCATAGAAACAAACAAGTTTAAAAAGGGGCAGAGGACCTGAACAGACATTATATATTTTTAGAAATATATAAACTTTTAATATCTTCTGCCAAACAAACAAACAAAGGCTCTATTGGGTTTCTATTATGTGTTAGATATTAGTGCATTACATGTATTAAATGTGCTATTAAATCACCCACTCCAAGATGGATTTTGATCCTACCACTCCACTGAAACTACCTTAAATGAGAGACCAATGACCTCCATGTTATGAAGTCCAAGAGCCAATCTGCCCTCTCCATTCACTTGACCTCTCAGCAGTATGTAACAGTCGATTATTTCCTCTTTGTCGTCACATTTCCTTCACTTGGCCCCCGAACATCTCATTCTCTTCCTTTTCCTCCTTCCCATCTCATATCTGGATTTTCTTCCTCTTCTTCAAGCTCCAAGGCGCAATCCCAAATCCTCTTTCCTTCTATATCAAATTCGTGCTTTCGTCTAGTGTCAAGGGTTTTCAATATAGTGTATATACTAATGGTCCTAAAATTGTTTCTTCGGTCTAGACATCTCCTGAATTTCAGACTCCAATATCCAACCACAAATTCAACCTCTCCATGAAGATGGCTAAGATGTACTTCTAACTTTACATTTAACAAATTGCCCCTGATCTTTCCTGCTCTAAACTCAGTCCTCAGCCTCTTCTACCTCATTTGATGCCAATTCATCACTTTAGTTATTCAAGCTAAAAATACTTGGAGTCATTTTGAAATCTTTTCTCTCTCATACCACATTTCCATCAGGAAATTTCAATGGATCTTCCTTTAATGTAGATTGAAATTAGCAACTTTTCATCACCTCAACTTGTACCACCTGTGTCCGAGCCACACTATTGCTTGCGTAGAATACTGGAAAAGCCTCCTAATGAACTCTCAGCTACATCCTTGCCCTTTTACACTCCATCTTTAACAGCAGTCAAAGCGAGTGATCTTTTTAGAACTGAAGTCGGATCGTGTCCCGCCTCTCTTCAGAACTCTCCAATGTGTTCCCATCTCTCAGAGTAACTGTCATTACGCTCACATAGGCCTGCAAGACCCTGCGTGATCTGATCTTGGTTACCTCTCTCCTCTCCTTTACTCTACTCAAGCTGTTTCTCAATCATAGCACACCTGTCTCTGCCTCAAAGCCATTGTACTTAACCACTGTTCAGCCTGAAATTTACTGTGTTCAACCTCACACCACATTTTTTCCGTGGTCAAAACTCAGTCACTGGTTCCAACTTCTGTGCATCACAGGCTTCAGAGCTTCATACTCTTTTCTGCTGCCCTAGTTTGCTTTCCTTTTTTTCTTGAGTCTTAATACATATATTTCCATTATAATTAATTTTAACTTCAGCATGCCCAGTCCAAGTAAATTTTATAGGTGAATAGGGCCAAATGTTCTGATTTTGATGATTGAACATTATGCTTATAAAAATGTTAATTCAACTTTAATTGGTCTGTTTTTAACTTACTGCAGCTATTCCTGATAGCAATAAAAGAAGTAATGATGGGAGTTTCCTTGAATTTAGAAATTCATTCACCAGACTAATCTATAGATTTTTTTTGCTTAAAATTAAAATAAAAACATTCTTCTATAAGTTCCATCTCAAAAATCATATTAACAAAAGGATGCATAAAAAACTTCTAAATTTATAGGAAAAATGTACATAAGTGGGAAGACTGAAAGAAAATATATCAATGTATAAAACACTGGTTTCCTCTGGGTGGTGGCATAAATGACTTGCATTTTCCTCTGCATAGTTATATGTTTTCTAAAATTTCTGCAATAAATATGTCACTTTTATGATCAGAAATAGGCATATTTAAATGTTAATTATATATATTTCTATGTTTTAGAAATAAACTTAAGTTCTCCATCTGAGCACTATTTCTGAGTCAAGTCTATTAACTTACCAGTGTTACTCCTTCATCGTTTTTCTCGTTAACATTTCCTCCACATGATAAGAAGTGTTTGACGTCTGTTAACATACTCATCGGTCTCTGAAGCTTCATCTGGTGCAGTGAGGTCAGATCCACTCCTAGGGGGAAAAGAGCCTTTCAAACAGAACGTAGAGATGCTTCTCAGCTGTTGGAGCGAACATTCAGTTTTATCTTATGTTCTTTTCAATATGTTCCTCTTTGAAGCCGCACTTCCACTTTGAATTTTCACTCCAAAGCACTATAATTACTTCTCTTGAAGGCATTCTATTTCTAGCTAGAGTATAGACTTGAATAATTTTCCTTTTATTATACCCCAGAGACATGATATGATGCCTTATACATGGCAGATTCTCAATGGATATCTGCTTTAGTATAAATCAATACATATAACCCAAAATATTTTAAGTATGTGAATTGAATTGAAATAAGTTATAGCTATAGAGCTTTTGTTCTTTATGATTTTCTGACCAAAATTGTTGCTCCTAAAGGCAATGCAGTACGCTGTAATAGAAAAAAAAAAAGACTTCTGCAGAAAAACTAGAAGAATCTGAATAAAGTCTGTAGTTTAGTTAATCGTATTGTGCCAATGTTAACTTCTTAGTTTGGATAACTATATCATGGCTGTGTAAACTGTCAATGTTAGGGGAAGGGCATATGGGAACTCTGTACTATCTTTGTAACATTACTGTACATCTAAAATATTTTCATAACAAATTCTTTTAAAAGGATACCCCAATTGACCACTCATGACTATTAATGTTAAAAAAGAAATAAACTAAAATTGAGTGAAGAACTGACAGTCAAATTTAACCCAGGTGGGCGATTTATGCCTCAAAGGCTCAGGTCTGCTCATTTCCTATTTACATCTCAATTCAGCACTTGCTTCAACGCCAGCTTCCATGATAGTGCAATCTCCATGGCAGCTTGTATACCTTCATTTATGCGTCCTCTGTTCCTAGCATTGGATCCTGGGATTAACAGGCTTTTACTAAGGAGAAATAATTCACCTTATTCCAAGTGATAGTGATGATGATGATGATGATGATGATGATGATGACGACATCTCCCTCTCAGCAAGTGTTTGCTATGAACTAGCTACTCTTCTGAGCAGTTTTAACCTCTTACCTAATTGAGCCCTTAGCATAAACATTTGTCATTTTCCCTTAGAGTACACCACATCTGCCTCACTGCATAGCTCATTCTCTGAGCCTGAATGGACACAAGCATAGGTACAAAGAAGTCAGCCTGCCTTGGTTTTAGTGCTGTGCTTTGCACTTACTATTTGTGCCAATGGGGGCAGGTAACTGATCCTCTGCCTCAGTTTCTCCATCTTCAAAATAGAGCTGATAGTTCTTGCTATACTAGTTGTTATGAGAATGTGTTGAAACACATGAAGCATATAAAACAGTATTTAGCTTACAGTAAGCATTCAATAAAAGTGAGTTATCATTATCAGTTAGCTTTCTGGTACACGGAATATTTGACATTCATTTAGAAGTATCTTTCTTTGCATTAAAAAGGCAGAGAAGAACCAAACAAAATAAAGCAAAATGCAATATTTGAATAATGTAGCTTGTTTCAAATGCTCTCTGTTCAAAGCAAACCCATTTTTGTAAAAACATGAAAGAGGAAGACTATTAACCATACCTCGGCTTCCCAATCATCATGTTATTTCAGAAGAATTTCTTAAATATTCCTAATAGGCACATTTCAGGTTTGTTAAGAAACAACTAAAACTGTTCTTCTACTCTTATTTTTACTATTATGGAACTTGACGTGTGAGTTAATTTTGGAAAATATTTCTCAGATGTCCGTGTTCAATGTTGCATGTTAAAGTAGCAGAAGAAACTGATGGTTACCCTGCTCTAAGCTTACATTGTTTTGTGTACTTTTATCATGTGGCACTGTTTACTGAAGTGACGTATATCTTTTAGATACGTTTACACATGCAAATTATTTAAACATGTAATTAAAATTAAGTAATAAGAAAGAATAGGAGTCAAAGATGAAAGACAAATTAAAACAAAGCTTAGATATCACTGGTTTCAGACTCACTTAAAGTAAAATATATGGGAAAACAATGTATTTCTGGTCACTGTTGTGTAGAAACCAGAGGAGAATATTATGACATTATATTCTATTATTTTAAAATTTAATTTTGAATCAAATATGAGACCATATAAGTGTGATTTTTAGATTTTTATTATGTGTTAGGAAAAAAGCACAAGTTTATTTTTAGTAATACAACAGAATGGAAATTCTCTCTTTTCTTGGTCAAACAAATTTCTTAAGCTGTCTTGGGAAAACAACAATCAAGATGCTATAGCTCATAGCAAGTCTATTTTATAATAGATAATGGGCTAATTCTCTCTCTCTCTCTTTTTCTTAAATAAATTACATTTATTTTCATACTGTTTTCTGAAAAAAATAATAAAAATCCTGCTTACATTGATTATTTTTACAGGAACTTGGTAATTTTTTTTTAATCTAGGAAATAAAAAACAAAATCACCTGAAATTCACAAGTTATTACATGTGATACTAATTACTACTGCCTGGTTACATTTGGTAATATCGATAGATGCCTGTGCAAAACTGAAATCGTATTAACACTGAAAGTCAACCTGAACCCTACCTTAACTTTCTTTAACTGTCTCCCTTAGTACTGTTTTATTAACAACTGAACTTTTCCTTTACTATCCATTCTGTATTGGGGTTACTCTGTGCTGCTATTACAGATAATTTTGTCATTATCCTAGCTATGAAATGACCCATCCCATGACTGTAGCATAAGATTTTCTAAGTGCCTAGAAGTGCATCTAACCCCAACTTTTGCCTCACAGTAAGCTTCTTAAAAGATCTAAGACTTGAAGGAAGCAAAAGAGTTGAGCAGGGAAATAAAAAAAATTGATTCTAAAAAAAAAAAAGAAAGAAAGAAAGAAAGTTGGTTCTAGCAAAGAGAAATAAACATGTTCAAACCAAAAAGGTGCTGTAACCCTCTACCTACTCCCCTCCTCCAACCCTAACAATGGGTATAACATGGACTGTCCCAGTCAAGTTGGGATGCACTGTCACCCTAACACTGGGCGATTCTGAAAAGGTTGGTGCAGGGATGGCTTTTCAAATGAAACTTTATTAAGTAGAAGAAATACACAGGTCATCTGTGGACTGATTAATCTGTGCGTCCCCTGAAGAATAATCAGGGAAGGCTAAGGCTGAAGGCAAGAAGACCAGTTTCCGAGCCTGTTTCAAAATAGCAAGTCCAGGGTTTTGACTAAGGTGGTAATAGCATAATCAGTGAGGGATGTGAACATATCAGAGAAACGTCAAGGAAGCAGAATCTGTGAGACTTGGTGACAATTTGATGTGAGGAATTTAGGAGAAGGCAAGTGATGTTCAGATACTTGGGTTCCTGGCTATAATGGTAAAATTAAATATAGATAGACTATGAAAGCACAATAAATTCCATATTGGACATGTTATAACTAATTGTCTTGTATTCCAAGTTGAAATACTTAATAAAATTATACATACAAGGCTGAATATTTTGAAAGATATCTCAGCTGCAGGAATATTTTGGAGAATGGGCAGGTGGTAACAACATAAAGAACAGGGTGAGATAAGCCAGGATAGTTTGGAGTGATAAAAGAAGATACTTAAAGACAAAGCCCCAGGAAGCACCGACATTTTGCCATCGGATGTACAAGCCTCCAAAGGAAACTAAGAAGAAGCTCAACAAGAAGGGAGGGAAACTATGGAAAGATCATTGCAGGTGAGAGAGTTCTCATAACATTATGATAAAAGTCATCAAATGTCAGAGAGAAATGAGGAAACAGAGGACCGAAGAGGACAACAGCACTCACTGCAGGGACCTTTCCGGTGGACGGGGGGCAGCGTTGTGTGCAGAAGCTGAGCTTCAGTGGCCAGAAGAGGAGATTAGGAACTTGGGAGAATAAATGTGAGCTACTTTTCCTAAAAGGATAGATATGAAATGAGGGAGAAAGAGTAGTGACAACGATACAGGCTGATCAAAGTTTTTATTTTATTTATTTTCCATAGACTTTTAAATATATGTATGTAATAAATACATATATTTCTTAAATATATATATTTATTTAGTTACTTTCCCTCTCCTTATGGTAAGCATCTGCCCCGGGCTACCTCGAGCTCTCCCTGCAGTGCCTTCTTTCCTTGCTGGCTCATTTTATAATCAATTGCTTTCCTTGAATGCCAGCTGGTGTGCCTTGCACTGGAGATCTAACATGCATCAAATGCTCAATCAGTCCTCCGTGGTTGTCTTGTTTTCCAGCCTGGAAAGCTCAGGCGGTGAGCCAAGGTTAATTGCTGTGTGCGGGTATACAGTGTATGTCGGTGGTGACAGTACAATTAAAACTTGTGACCAGCCTTTTTCCATGTAATCAACTTGCTCCCAACCTCACATGCCTCTTTCTACATGTGTCCTGATGTGACAGCATGATAAGTATTCTGATTTGAAACTGTATGATAGAGAGTGCAAATTCAAGGATTGCAACCAACTAGCTATGAGAATGCAATGCTGAAACACTTGTCGTCAAATAACAACAAAAATCTCACCTTGGAATATTGGAAATTTCTAAGGACGTTGGTGCACACTGTCACAGCAGACAGCTCTAAAAGTGCTCCAACAGGGGGACCAGAGAATAAATGGAATTAGACAGTATTTAGTGAAACTGTGGCAGCTGAAACAGATAAGTAGGAGGGACGCTGGCAGAAACGGAACCGGACTGTGAAAGAGGTAAGGGAGGGGCGGATAGCTAGGAAGGCAGAGGCCAGCGCAACAGCAGTGACAAATGAAAAACAAAATTAAAAATTTAAGAGCTATTACATTGAATTTGTTCCAGCAAACATGTATTTTACAAACCGATTGTGACAGCCATCACCGTGACAGATTTTCTCCTGACCATTCAGAATCAGTACCTTCGTCGCATTTTTTTCCCTCTATCATTTTTTAAAGCAACCTCTCAAAGGAATATACTTATTTTTATTTATGCAGGATAGATAATACTGCTTTTGCAAATACTAAAATTTCTTAGCAAATAAAATCGTTTAGTGAGTTGAAAAGACTTGTAAGTAATGTTAATTCTTTTGCAAATAAGGATACTTAATTTTAGTTTCCTAAAAGAAATATTTATTAGGATGCCTATTAGAAATTTAGAATAGTAAGCAGAGCAGGGAATCATCATATAGAACTGGCACAGATAAGTAAAAGACAGTCAAGTTCTTCATGCCCATTCAGAATCAAGCAGCTTACAAGTCAAGGTTTGCAGATGTCCAAATAGTAGACCTCCCAACAGCAGAATGTGCATAACTTTAAGCTCATTCTTTTAGAAGTAATGGAATCTATCTCACAGGCGACAAAATGTAAGGAAAGCACATGATCCCTCACAAAGGACCGGGCACAAGGAGTGAGAGAGATGTAGAGAAAATGACCACACAGCCTGCACCCCCTGCTGCTTCTGTCACCCAAGCCATGACTCGGTGACCTTCAGGAGCACAGCTCAGCTCACATTTTCTCTAATGAAAATAAGGGTACTTACCTTGCTTTCAGAATTAATGAGACTATTTTCTTAGGAACTCATGGCTGCTAAGTACTAATTATTATTATTCTAAGCCATCCTCAGAATAAACCTTTTGATTCAAGCAATCCGGAGGAGGCAAAGAGCACAGGGAACAAAGAGGCAGATGTGCGGGCTTTTCTTAAAGACAAGAAGGATAGAGTCACAAGCAAGGTGTGGCTCTTAAAATTTTTCAGCTTTTGCTCTGACAATAGATCATACATGAAGGAACTGGAATTTCATTGTTGTTATTTATACCTAAACAGCAGAAAGAAAAAGAAGAAGGGGCATACGTCTTTAGTTTAATACCTCACCAGTCTCAAGGTGTCACATATATCTCACTTTGCCAATGCCGAACTTACCCATGAAATTATATGCTGGGTCTGTGCAATTAAATGTTCTTTGTCACTGAATACATGTGAGGCCTCAGCCTCATCTTTTCAGGCTAGCATCGTGGTCACGGGGCATTATTCTGACAACATTTCTGTCTCCAAGTGTCAGCAAAAGAGGATACTGGGATGCCCCTGCAAATTGCCCTTGACTTAAGCCCTCACTCACTTACATGTAATCCTTAAGGGGACCATCAGCTACTAAGAGAATATACTTCAGATGACTTCGCTCTTATTAACTCAAAATTCAATTGTGTTGGTTCACTTCCCTTCCTCTCCCAGTGGAGGACAGATTATAATTACAAGCCCAGTCCCACTAATTATGGACTTTAGATGCTTGTTAAAATGTCCCTTCATTGTTGGTTTCTAGATTTTTGCTGGCTTGCAAAACTGCATTGACTAAAGCAACAATACATTTCAGTAGGAGAGTAAAATGTAGAATAGAAAAATACCTCATTTTATACAATCTGGTGAAACTACATCAATATGAAATCCTGTAAGCACACTTAAGAAATAAATACACTTATAATTCTACCTCTCTAGTTCTCCATCTATCTTTCCACAGTTTTTCAAAGTTCAGCCTACCATTTTCATCCAAATAGGTCAGTAAGATAGAGCTTGATTCTGTCCCTTCGACAGCATAATCCAATGGTGTATTTCCATTAACATCCTGGAGAAGGACATTGGCTCCAGCCTATAATTAAAAAAGAACAAATATAACATTATGTATACTGTTAACATAGAAAGCAGATAAAAACTTTAAGTTCTGTCTTAGAAAATAGATCAAGAAAAGTTTACATGAATTACAACCCTGCAGAAACATGTAGAAAATTGGAATTGTTTTTAAGAACAATAGCAGAATACTTTGTGAGAAGCTCTGACAGTCTAAAAATGTTCAGTTGACCCTTGCAAGACCTGAGTCGCAACAACTTCTCCCCAGCACTTTTGCTAAACCCAAAATATGCAATCCATGGCTAGTAAACCATCCACGCATCTGCGCTGGCTGCCCCATAGCCTGTTTTGTTTCTAAGACGACAGAAGTGCCCCCATGTCTTCAGAGATTCTCAATGGTGAACTCTTGTATGAACTCTAACTGACTGTCCCCAAACAATCCTATAAAATCTTTCAAGTCTTTGATCTACACAAAAACTCATCTGAGAGCTAGTCTTACACTACGTTTTTAAAAAAGGCTTGGGCTAACTGCTTCTGGTTGGTTTTTTTCTTACCATAAACTGTTTTCTAAGAAAAAGCATAATCTGTAGACATTAATGGAGTATATTAAATATGGCTATCATGCATCTTCTATCTTCAAAGGGCCCTCCATCAAGCACCTCTGAGCACATCTGCTCCATCCTTTGCCCATGTCAGCTCAAATACAATGATAGATGTGCTTTTTGCTCTTTAAAAAAATGGTCACATAAATCGTCACCATTGCTCTAACATTTTTAATAAGCTCCACAAAATTTATCATGCATGATTTACATCTTTTCTCCAAGGGCATGACTTCAATATGTTCCCATTGTCTAAGATTTCCCATAGACTTACCAATACCATATCATTAATTTCAGGCCAAATGAAAGTTTCCTTCTATTCTTTCTAATGAACAGGAGTCTGTATTGCGATGTCAATATAATTTATATAGTTCATATAATATCCAAGTTCCTAACTTTACATAAAAATATATGTCACATTCATATATTATATATATTAAAATGTGGGGGTTTGCCTTTCATTTATAACATGTTATATACATATATATACATACATACATACATACATACATACATACATAAATGTAGCTTTCCTATACCTTAGCAAGTCTGCACAAGTTTTCAAAAGGATTTCTCTAAATATATTGTATAAACAAACCAAAATGTAGGTCAAAGTGGTATTATATTCCATATCTTAATATTTGCCCACCAAATAGGCTATGTCACTTAACCTCACCATCTAGAGTTTACCACATTACGTCTTCTATAACTATATAAAGATAGTCCTTTATTTGAACAGACTAAATTATATATTTCATATTTTCACTTACCTAAGGAAAGCAAGTAAATTTTAAGTTCCTAAAGACTTCAAGTTATCTTCTTAGTTCATTTAATTTTGTTTCAGTTATTCAGAATTCGAAAAGAAATTACTTGAAGCAATGTTCTTAAGTAGACTTTGCTAATAATTCCTTTCCTTTAGTCTCCAAACACAAGAATAAGATTTTACATAACTACCCAAGTATCAATTATTAAAGACTCAATCAAGACACAGAATTACAGGGCGCCGTTACCTATTTCTGTACTAATAGGGATAATCAAGTTATTCTTTTTTTCCAATGCATACATGCTTCCGATAGAATCTTATCTATGCCAAACATCTGGGCATAAGACAATGGTGAATATAATTATGAGTCATGTATTATCGATCAAAACGAAAATAAATAGGAAGGCTACTGGGTGCTGAGAGAGGTGGAGCACTTGGAGAGAATATATTTCATTCTTTAAGAAGTAATGAGGCTCTTTCAAAGAAAGTCTGAAAGTGAAACATGGTGCTGGATATTTTAGCTGGACTCATTCATTGAGATTTTACCCCATTAATCACTCAGTGGTCTGTGCTGCTAAATTATCAGGTATCATTCCCTATCTAGGAGTCGGACTTTTCTGGAGGTTGGTAATGTCCCTAACCACAGATCACATCTTATTCCTCTTTATATTCCCAACACTTATTACAGTGGCTGTACATACTAAGTACTAACAAGATTTAATAAAATAAATTTTAAAATGAAAGGCCAAATGCTGCACTTAAACTAATTATTAAAAATTGAGGCAAAGAATTATAACATTCATTATAATTCTTTTTAACTACATTTTTGTATTTTATTTTCAAGATTGTATAGATGAAATTATAAAATCACTATATGCATCCTCTCTTTCCAGAGGAATGACATTTGTCAAAGGCTCTTTTTCCTTCTTTTTCCTTTTCTTTCCTCCCTTCCTTCTTTCTTTCCTTCCTCCTTCTTCCTACAGGTTTTCTTTCTTTTGCCACTGCAATGCGCAAGCATGCTCCACCTGTGGTGGCCCTGGTGCTCTGCCCCCATTACCCCAATTGTCTGTCCCTAGACAGGCTGAGCCATGTGCGAAAACAACATAGATCTTAAAGGCCCCCCGGAGAAGCTGTATTTCTTAAACTAGAATTCTGAAACTGTACTTATATTTTTTAAAAAAATCACTGATAAGATTCATGGCTGATTATTATTCTCAGTCTGACTAACTCAGAAGTTAATGTGCAATTATACTTGTTAATGGATCTCACTGGAAATAAGGTGCTGATGACTTGCAAAGCAGGACATTTTTCATCAAAATGTCAGAAGACCCCTGTTAACATCATCAGGAAGAGAAATGGCCCAAGGGTAGAGGAAATAGTAACATTTATAAGATTTTGTGTTTGTACTTATTTTTAAAAGAAATATTTTCAACCACTCAGGAATATAAAGGGAATTTTCTATATTTTGTGAAATGAGAGCTAATAATTTAATTCAATAAATATATCACTCTTGATATTGTTCATTTTCAATGAGAATTTGAAACAATGTTTTGAAATATTATTTTTCTCTTCCAAATCATGATATTCTTAAATATATTTTTTAAAGATGATCTTTTATCATTTCAAATTTCATTCCACTGATGTAAGCAAGCATCCACTATATGCTTTTTCAGCTATGCATAGAAAAGTCATACAAAAGTACTCCTAACTGGTATACATATTAATTATATTGTTTCCTTGGATACATGGCTCAGAATGAGGATGTCAGGAGTAAACATTAACTTTGTCTCATGTGTTGGTGTGTACATTTGATTGTGTGCATCATTGTTTTATTTCAGGGGATAAGAAGCAGGATGAGTTGAGGATTTTAGACTAGATTTTCAAAGACAGGACAGAGACTATCCAAGCCTGCATTTATTTTATGATACAGGAACAACAGCTTTAACAACCACTGTATATTTTCTAAATCTTAAATAATAATTTAAAATTACTGAATGTGTCCTTTACAAAAACACGTGGATTAGGAACTGCATGTATAAAAAGGATATTGAGAATGAAAGTAGATGGAAGACCTAAATATTTTTTCACTATTCAAGAGAACTCATTTAAATTTGGTGCTTGAGAACACCCTAGGTCCTAAGGGTGCGTGCGTGTGTGTGTGTGTATGTGTGTGTGTGTGATCTATCTTCCTAGTTTTACATTCCTACACCTAATCACCATATGTCAAATTTCTTATACTAACAGTAGTGACTGCCCTTTGTCTAAATGAAAGAAGAAATTCCAAATTAAATAAAACTTGCATTAGTAAGAATAGCTCAATAAAAAATATTATCTTTTCTACAATGCAGACTCTGAGGCAAGTTCTTCAGCTTGGCTTCAGGAAAATCAATCAATCACATAGTGATTAGTTTTTATCAGGAAAACAAAAGTAATTAATGTTATATATGCAAAATCAACAGAAACTTCTCAAATGCTTTCTGTAACTGAGGACTGTTTAGTTCCTTCTGAGAGCTCAAATCACATTTCCTCTCTAATTATTCAAACTGGGAGGCTATCCAACTTCCAATTTGTCCTAAACTATGTTCCTGTAATATTGTCAATGGAACTCAAATATATCATTTCCCTAAAATAGAAATGTTATTTCCTGCCTATCACATAACATATGAACAAATAAAGTAAATATTGTTTTACTTTGTGTAACAATTTATTGCCAATGAACATACTTATAATTGTTTCATTTAGTAATAATTTTCTAACACATTACTACTGAAGTTTTAAGTGCATTTTAATAAAAAAAAAATACCACTTTTTATATGCAAAAACTTTTTGATAACTTTTTATTCGGATATAATTTCAGGTTTACTCGAAGTTGAAAGAGTAATACAAAGAACTCCTGTAACCTGTTATGGGCTGAATTGCATCCTCTAAAGAGATGTTGAACTCCTAACCCCTGGTACCTGTGTAGGTGACCTTATTTGGAAACAGGAAATTTGCAGATGTAATTAGCTAAGTAAAGATGATATCATGCTACGGTTACCAGTATGGCTAGTGTCTTCTGTTCCACAAAATTATTTTTTCTCTTCCAAGACATGATATTCTTAAATACCTTTTTTAAATATTCTTTTTACATTATAAATTGCATCCCACTGATTTAAGTGTCCACTGTATAGTTTTTCAGACACAGAAGGAAGATGGGCATGTGAAGACGGAGGCAAAAATTGGATACTGCCACACACTGAGAAATGTCTGAGCCCACTAGGAGCTGAAAGAGATAAGGAAGAATCCTCTCCTAGAGGTTTCAGAGGTACCATGGCTCTGCTGACACCTTGACTTTGGACTTCTGACCTCCAGAATTGTGAGACAACAAATTTCTGTTGTTTTAAGCCAGGTAAAAACTTTGTTATAATATCCCTAGGAAACAAATATTCTACTTTTTATTTAAATTCTTCAATTAGTTATACTTTTCCCTACTTTGTCCTCTCCCTTTTCCCCTCTACCTCCCCATTTCCTTCCCCTGCTCCCTGTCATTCCTCCTGAATTACTTAGAAGTGAGTATCAGGTATTTTGTCTCTTTACCCTTAAATATTTTAGTATGTATTTCTTAAGAACATGAATATTCTCTTGCACGAAATTATCAAAATCAGAAAATTTTAACATTAA